CAAATTTCTTAAGTTTTATATAAGTTTGTTCTAAAAATTGGTTTTTATTTATGCACCCATTACAGATCAGGTGGTATAATTATTTGATTATTGCTCATACAAGGATCTGCATTTAAGGTTTTTTTTTGTCCAAACATTTTGTACTTCACATATGCTTTAATTAGGACGTTCAGACATTGTCAATGCTGATAATTGTAAGATTACTTATTCTTTTGGTTAGTTGTAGTTCCTTTATTTGCAAAACTGCTCGTTGGTTTGTGTTCCTTATTTTAATTATTTTTCCCTATACAGGGCTCTATAGCCTTATCAATCAGCCTTAATATCACCTTTTCGTGCTCTATGATTCTTAATTTTCAAAATGAATCTTGAAAAAGTTTAAGTATGTATATGCTTATTTGTATATATATATACTGCATAAATCAGTGCTAATTTGTTTTCAGAAATCACTATAGATCTTCTTTTTTTTTTTTTAATAAATTTAATCTGTAAGTATAGACTTTATTTATTCATATTAATATAGTAAGTCAAGTTTATAAATTTCTAACTTATAATATATCTTTTATTCATATTAAGTTAGTCGACCTTATTATGTTAAACATTCATTTGTTCAAGTGTTTTCCAATGTGTAGTTAGAGTTGGTTTGGTCTATAGCTGTTAGACAAAATCTAGGTGCTTCGCATTGGCAAAAGTCAAAACTTTAGTTTCGGCTTTTGCCAAAAAATTTTAAAAAGGATAAAATAGTGAAACTGGCAAAAAACATGGTGAAACTGGAGAAACTAACAAAAGTTGTCAAGACTGTAATCTCTATGCCAAATGTGTCAAATCTATAGCTTATCATTAATACGTAATAGTTATATTCTAGGCAGTTAGGTTTAAGTGAATTTTGCAGTAAGTGGCTGATTATACTTACTGCAAAATTCACTTAAACCCAACTGCCCAGGATATAACTATTACTGATATAATATACTAGTACATATCTATCGTTATCTATAAACTAGTTTAATTTAAGTTTGGATTAGGTGATTATAGAACTGACTCTCTTTGTGAGATATCTTTCATTAGGGTTTTGCTTTCGCGGAGTTTTGATGTTTCACTAGCGTTTTTGACATTCGCCAACTTATATGTATCTTTGGTGGGTATTTTAATAGCTTATCTGGATAATCGTAATATATGTGCCTTCTGAAAATAAATAGATCACTGAAAAGCTAAAATTTTTATATTTTGAATCTGAAGATACTTGCTGCAAAGTATCTCTTTAAAATTAGTTGCAACCTTTGAACCCTTTTTTTGCTGCAAAAAGACGTAAGATCGCAAGTCACAAGATCAAAGTCTATGTGATTATTATTATTAATAAAATAAATATCAATGTAGATTACATATAGGGATGTTAAAAGTCTGGTCCAAGTTGGTTTTTTGAGTTGACTTCAAGTCTTTATTAAAGTTCTGTCTCAAGTCAGACTTGGGTCTCGACTTGCATTTTACGTGCAACTTGTACATTAAATATAGTATTAAAAAAAATGTATGCGTATACAAAATATGCATAGATACACTTTTTTGGTTATTTAAATGTTCAAGATGACTTGGAACCAAACTTTAATAAAGACTTAACTTTTGGAGTCAAGTCAGACCGGACTGAACTTTTAACATCCCTAATTACATATAATTTAAAATTTAGTGGGTATTATATTACAATTGTATTTTGTAAAAATGGGATTCAATGTCATTAATAAATAATATAAAAAGTTCATATCAGGTATTTGGAGCATAGGACAATAAACTTTAATAAGCTTTTTTTAGCATTATTTAAAAAAAAAAATTTTTTATATATAAAAAAAAAAAGCTGTGTACCTGCATCACTACTTACCATTCCATGATATGAAAACCAAGTATACAATTTTGTGTAGCCTTATATGCACAAAAATATTTTTAGAATGTATATAGAGCATTTTAACAATTCAATTCCCCCTACTAGACCCGTCATGCTTATGCTTATGCTTAATAAAGCCACTAGTTATATTAACTTAACTAGTATCAAATACTATAATAATAACAATATTCTTCTTTATATTTTATCTTCTAATACTACTTATATTCTTTAATCATCAGAAATTCTCTTTAAAAAACTTAAGTCTGAGTATGATAATGCATTAGATTATTATTATTCTAATAATAAATATGAAGTAGTTACAAAGTACTCATTTGCACAAGTTTTTGGTAAAGCATTTTACAAAATATACACTCTGAATGCAATCAGATATACATTTGCTACAACTGGCATTTGGCCCCTGAATCCTGAAGCAATTAACCCTAATTACTTAATACCTTCACTATCGACTTATCAACCTGTTATTTCAAGTCAAGAAATAACTCATATATATAATACAAGAATTAGCAAGTTAACTCAGCTTGAAAATGAAAATAAAGAATTATGTAACCATATTCAAAGGTTGAAGAATTCTGGAACTGTGTCTTTATCTTTAATTATGAAATATCTACATCCAAGTCAATTATCTGTAGAAAAAAAACCTCAAGTCAGGCCCAAGGCTTTTAAGTTTGAAACACTCATGACTGCAGAATCAATTGTAAAAAAATTAGAAAATAAAGAAAATGTAAAATGAAAGAAAATCAAAGATGCAAAGTCAAGAAAAGAATGGTGAGAACAACAGATTAATAATAAAAAAGCAAAATAAGAATAATAATAAGAATAAATAAATTTTTATTATATTGTTAAAGAGTAAAATAAATTTATTATAGCTGCTAAATCTTGTTTTGTATTGTATTTAAATAAAAGTTAACTTTTGTGAAATTAAATATTTGCTTATTAAATATTACTATTAAATGCTATACATTAAACATGTTTTTTTTTATATACAAGTTATCAAGAATCTACTAAGTAAATGTTTGCCATGTTTACCATAATGAATTATACAACCCTGAAAAAATTTTTATAAAAAACAGAATATACTTTATTAGTTAGTTATTAGTTTAATATCAAATAAAAAAAAAATTTTTTTTATAAAATTTTTTAATCTATAATTAAACAGCCTTACTTATTAGTAAAATCTTGCCTGATTTGTATAAAACTTTTATAGTAAGTGCAATTTAGACCACACCAATTTGATTCTATGTTTAACATAAACCTCCTCTCTATTTTTTAAAATTTTGGACATAAAATAAACACTATTTAGCCAATCAAATTGCAGTATTAGCTTTTGAAAATTTTTACATTTTGTTCAGCCAATAGAATTGCTGCTTTTTTAGAGTTGTTGTTTATTTTTATCTTTCCCCCTCTCTTGTAAAAATATTTATGTTATGTTAAACAAAGAATTAATTTGGAGTGGCTTTACTGACATAAACACATTTACTTAATAACTTTATTTAATTTATTTAATAAAAAAATCGCGTTTATTATATATTCACAGAAATAGAATAATGACCTTTAATTTTGTATAAATTATATAGATTAAATTCTATTAGTAAAAAAATAAATAAATATATATAAAAGATAAATATTTTTATATATTTAAATAATAAAATAATTATAAATTTTATATATAGAATTTTATAGATAAATATTAAATTTTAAAAAATTTTTATATATAGCAAAAAAAAGTCACCAGAAATAGACAGGTATACCTTATACTCTAGAAGCATAAACCAAGAGAAGAGAGACTGTAAAGCACATAAAGCCTGGGCAAACCAATCTTTTCAGATTGTCAGCTTGAAGTAAGAAAGAGATTAATAAAGAAACTGAGAAAAAAAGAAGATCTAAATGTGAATACTGGGGTTAGGTGAACTCACAAAGACAAGAAGTGTATAACAAAAGACTAATTAGAAAGATTGTGGCTTGAAATATGGATTAGATTATGGCAGTATCCAAAAAGATAGCTTGAGACATGAACCTGGTAGCAGCAGCACAACAGATACTAGTTAGAAAGAAGTTACCAAATATGCAAGTAATAACATGTATAGAATATAGACTACTTTGTTAAGTTTACCTCATGAATAGATTAGCCAGAAGTAGTTAGTAAGTTCTAAGAAGGGTTACAAAATCTATAGATACTACAAAATCTAGTATATAAATAGTAAGTTGTATCTTAAAGGGTTTAAACAGGTATTTTCATAGTTAGAGTGCAGGTATGGTAGATAGTGTAGAATCTAGAGCAGACTACTTAAATAGACAACAAAAGTTGTATATATAGCTAGTTATACTCTTATTAGTAAATAACCAGAGAGCTTAAATAGATAATCTTCTAGTTAGATTGTAGGTATAGCAACTAGTGTAAAACCTAGATAGACTACTTAAATTAGGTACCAAAAGTATATGTATGGCTTAATATACCTTTATTGTAATTATAACCTGAAGTTAACTATCTAATAAAAAGTTCTAGCTATAGAGATTACTTTAATACCCCCTAAAAAAAAAAATAATTGTAAAAAAGTATAACAATTATAAAAATCAAATTTAGAGATATAGTAGCTTAGTGAAATAGTCTAGTTATCATCTTACCAAGCAGCAGGTCTAGAGTTTAAATTCTATAAACAATGTTTTTTGAAAAATAAATCTGTATTATATAATGATTATTTATCAATCAGTTGGATCTACAATCTGTAATCTTGGTTGTATCATCTTATTATAGAAGCTTCAGTGCAGAAATACCAAGAAACTAGAATAATTAAAATCTATTTGGGAAGACCTGAGTAAAAAAGTAGTAGATACTTTTGATAGTGTTATAGAAAGGCTGAATTTGAAAGTAATAGCCAAGATTGGAGAACCAAATAACAACAAGATTCTTCAATAAGATGATTTATCAACCTGACTGCTAATTGGAAAAAAAGCTAGTATACCAATCTAATTAGCTAGCATAGAAAACTGAGATAGCTATCCACTATGATTAGGATTTAAAAGTTAGATTCTATTTAATAACAAGAGCTGAGCGATCCCTGGAGACTAGCCAGACCCAATTAGAAAAAAAGAACATGTGCTATAAAATCATATACTACAAAAAGACAAGACATAAAGTACCGAGAGCCTAGCTAGGGTTAAATCTTCTAGGTTACAGATTGGGAGTACAGAAGAGACCAATAAAGTAATAATAGAAAAAGAAGACCTAAATATGAATACTGAGGTTGAAGTAAACCTTACAAGGGCATAGCAGTTTAATTGGATTACACCAAACTGTGAGTAGAAGCCTTGGCACTACAATAACTAGATTAGCCAAATAGGAATATAGAAGGCTCTAATAGGATTATTTTGAAAATAGCTATACATCTGCTTAACAGAGAAATACAAGCCAGTCTAGTTGGTGCAAATCTAGAATAAGTTACAGAAGTTCTAAGGCAGTGTGTATATCTAGTAGAATAGGCCAGATAGTAGTTTTTAAATTAGTATAATATATTTAAAAATGATTAGAATCAAAAAGTTTAAATAAATAACTCTCTAGTTGGGTTATAGATATAATATCTAATATAGAACCTGTAGACAAACTACTTAAATAGGTACTTAAAAGGTGTATGTGTGGCTAGTTGTATTTTTATTATAACTATAATAGTAAATAATTACTAATAAAGAGCCTTCATAGCCAAAGAGATTACCTTAATACTAAAAAAATAAAATAAAATAAAAATCAAATTTATTATATAGACTACTATTAATAGAAATAAGGCAAATTAGTATTTTAAAATAAAATAATATTTTAATTTTTATAGTTTGTATCTTAATAAATTTTGAAGCTATCTTGATGCTTTTTTTTTTTTTAGCTCTTTGACAGTCTTTTCAAAGCCCAAATATAATAAAACTTTATTTAATTATTAATACAGCAAATAAATTATATTTATCTTAAATTGCAAACCCAATATCTAGCTATGACACAATATGCCCAGAAGCAACCTTTAAAAATTTATTAGAAGATCTTGTCAGTCCATCAAGAACTAATTACTTCAATTTTTTTTCTTTACTAAGAGTACAAGAAAGTAAAATTTTGTACTACCAATACAGAATTAACATCAAGAAAAAAAGAAAACTAAAACTAAAAAAAAACATATAATAAAAGAGAAATTAAAAAGGAAGAGAAATAGAGGAACAAAGAAATATAAAAAAAGAAAAACAAAGAGAAAAGCCTTTATAGGCTAACCAATATACCTCTACAAAGAAATAGTTTGTAGTCAAATAATAAAAATTATATAACTAATACAACTATAGTATATTTTAATTATAAAATTTCACTTTATATAAAACCTTTTTTTGATATATGACTAAATTCAAATACTGATTAAATGGAAAATTTTGATCTTCTGTAGGTAGCACTATATTTACTTTTATAATCACACTAAACATGTAGTTGCAATCCACCTGGTTGTCCAGATTTGGCATAAGTAAACAATGCTGATCTTCTAACAGAAGTAAGCTATTTTGTTCACTTTTTTCAAAAATTTTGTTAAAAACACAAATGAGTGATAGTAAAGAGTATAAATTTAGTACTTTTTTTTAAAGAGAGTATGTGTTTCTTCAAAAGTAGTAGTATAAATAAATCTGAGTACACTGCTACTTTTCTTTTTAGTAAGTAATAAATTCTAAACTTGTTAGCAAGTAGCATATAAGAACTACTTCAAAATAATAAATGTTATCCTTATAGTGAGTGATAAGCTCTATACTTATTAGCAGATAGTATATAAAAACTATCTCTAAATAATAGGTACTAGTTTATAGTTTTTATTAGTCTTATATCCTTCTTCTTTAATATACTTTTACTGTTTTTGTTAAAAATTTAGTTTTGAAAAGTTGGTCCAAGAGATCATTAGAAAGGCTATCTTAATGATTTAATATTTAAAAGAAAGCTTAGATTATAAGCTTTTTTTTGACTATTAAATTATCAAGATAGCTTTAATAATTATTGAGATATAAGCTATAAAAGTTAAAGTTAGTGTTTGTAATCAATCTTTATTTATCAGCCTGACTAAGTTGATATTTAAAATTTGCTTAGCTAGCTAAGTCAGAGTTAATAAATATTTTATCTTCAAAATTTATTAGTAATTTTAACAAGTTTTTGTTATAACCTTATATTTATTGATTTTCTTTTTAGATTTTTTTATCTCTTACTCTTAATCCCAAATAGTAAAAAATATTCTTAGATTTAATGTTAGTAATAGTTTGTTTGCAGAATATAATAAAGACTTGTGGATTAGAGTTATTGAAAATTAGTATTGATTTATATAAATTGACTTTAATATTTGTATAGAATAAGAAAGAATTAACAGTTTTGAGTATATTTTGTAATTTATTTTTGCTTTTAGCAATCTACACTGTGTTGTCTATATATGCTACTACTAATATATATATTGATATTGTATTTTGAGAAGTATATATATCTAACAAGTATTTTTGAAAGGTAGTATTAATTTGATTAATTAATAAGCTATAATAGACCCTTCAAAGTATTGGAAAAAATATTTTTCTCTGGTTAATTCTGTCTTGTATCATGTAGAGTTTGGATATTCTAATATCTATTATTATTGTGTTTTGTCTGCTATTTAGTAGATTAATAAATTTTAAGAAAATAGAAATTCTTTGCAGAGTTTTTATAAGAAGTAGAATATAGATAGTATCATATATCTTGGA